GTTTTTTTATAAATTTTGAGAGCTTCTTGATAATGATATATCGCATCGTCATAAAGTTTAAGAAAATAATAAGCATTTCCCATGTTATTGTACGACATGCCTAAAGATGTTTCATCATTTGGCAAACAATCTTTGCGTATTTTAAATGCTTTTATATAAAAGTCGAGTGCTACTTTGTATTGATTTTGTTCTTGATTGACAATACCAATATTGTTATAACATACAGCTTTTTTTGCAAGTGCTTTGACTGTTGAATCTGTTCCCAAAGCTTCTAATGCTTTATCATAATATTCTAGTGCTTTATTGTAATTACCTTGCTTTCGATAAATTTCTCCAATACTATTATAACTCGATGCAGTATATAGATGTTTTGTACCCCATTGTTTTAAATTGATTTGAAGAGATTGATTGTATAACTTAAGACTAATCTCATAATCACGTTGTTCATCGGCTATACTTCCAAGTGCTTCATAACAACGAGCTTGATTGGGATCATCTTTTGATAATCCATCTCGTAAACGTTCATAATATATCTTTGCTTCATCTATATTGCCCATTGTCATGAGCACATGACCAAATGTAAGAAGTTGATTTGTGTCCTGAATTGAATAGAATTGTTGACTGTTATCAGAACATAATTTTAATTGAACTCGCCATATTTTTCGACTATCAAGAACAATTTTAACGATTTGAAAAATCGATCCCAACATGAAAAGTATTTCGTCTTCTTGATCAAAACTTAGTGATTTGATATTGGCAAATGGTCTATCACTGCCGAGTCTAGGATCAGCTTCAATTTCGAATAATACTCTTTCTAACCCATCCGAATTTGGCAAATATAAAAGAGCTTTGTCAATTTCCATAGTAGCTGAAAAGAATGAATTGATTGAAATAAATTGTCCAATAGAATCTTTTAACTTTTTTAATTTATCATTTGACATTAATTGATTTCGATAGACGACTATTGGTTTCCTATGTCGAAATTGTTCGAGTTGTTCCCGAATATTAACAATAAAAAATTGAAATAAAAATAAAATATCAATATTTTGTGTGCGAAGAGCTTTATTCAATAATCGAGATAGAAATGAATTTCTTGTATACCACCAAATAGCCTTATCTGGTGTATAATTTCGTTCGAAGTCTACAATATTTTTCATTTCATTTCGATTTTTTCTGTATATGGTTTTACTCAGAGATGTTAGTTCGTTCTTATCCCTTACGTCCGATTTCATTTGAAGAAGACAATTAATTAATAATTGTGAATGAACAAGATGACCTTGAAGATCAGTTGTAAGTTTTTCATGAACAATTTTTGGATCAAAAATACTAATTGGTAATGACTCATAAATTTTATTTTGCTGTTGTTTTTCATGATCAAATTGAATTCGAGCAATAAGTTCTTTTACATGTGTAACTACAGCTTTCACCTATAAGAAATTGTATAATAATACTTGTATGATTTAAACTAAAATTATTTCTTTTTCATTACTTTTGGATACATAGCAGACCATTGTTCATTTGAATTTTGATCGTAACAATAAACATATATTGATAAGACTTGTTCAAAAGACTGAAGATGAGGCACTATTTGTCGACCTAACTGTCCACTAACTATTAAAACAATTCGATCTTCTTTCGGCACAGTTGATATATATCGTATACACTGATCTGGATCTTCAAATGTTTTTAGTTGATTGATTGTTGCTTGAAGTTCTTCTTGAGCGCAAATATTATCTTCTGTCTTGTTAACTGACCTATCGAGCCAAAGAAGAGAAAATGTTTCTAAATTGTCATCTTGTGACGTAAATATCTTATTGAGAATCTGTCCCATTGTTGCAAATTTTTAGTGTGTCGTTAAATATAAAATATTATTCATTGTAAAATGCGGCGACCATGAATTGTTTCGTTAAGTCAATATTGACCTAATAAGAATTTTTTTTTCAATACTTTACAGATAAAAAAGCACGTGCGAAAGTTTTTCGTTCTTACCTCTTATTGTGACATTCTAGTGCAAATAAATGACATAAGGAAAAAAAATATCACTGTATTGAAAAGAAAAAAAAAATGAATATTGAGGTCCGTGTTTTATCATTTTAAAGCATTCATTGGACTACTCAAAAAGCCATTTATAAACGAGTAGTATGAAAAATATTTTCTATTGGCACATGGTACAATGAAGTACTATTTCTAGACATGATAGATTTTTCTTCTAAAGTCAACATAGAAATTATCAAAACTGTTTGGTACTTTGGATATTTGGATAAATTAGAACAAACAATAGCAAAAACAAAATCAACCAATTAATATTATCTTACTATTCTTCGTTTTCATCTAAGCAAATATATATATAAGAGAATTTTAAAATAGATCAAAATACGTGTTTTTAGATACTGTGTCAATTGTCTCATAATTTCAGTTCTTAAAATTTTCAGCACAGAAATCTAATGCTTCGGTGTAATTCTATTACAAAACAAAAGAAAGAAAATGTGATATACTACTGCATTTGTTATATGTAATGTTAATTTTAAACGAAAATAACGAGTATTTCAGGAATAATGAATCTCTCGGTATTTTAATGAGATCTCTTTAATATTCGTTGATTCAGACTTAATTTCTTTTTTTGTCAAAAACTTTATCTTTTAATTTTTTTATAAAATAGTATCTTTTTATTAAGGTAAGTAATATCCATTATTATTCAGTTGTAGAATCAGAGATTTTTCAATGTTATCTTTTGTCCAATTGATAGAAGTACAAATTCCTCGAAAATTAAGTAGTTCGAGGTTTAAATTTGAACTATTCAATAATGAATTGTTCTCATCGATGATAGAAAGGAATTTGAATCGATATCAGTGTTGTATTAATTGATAGATATGAAATTGTATATCGTTCTGATGAAATATTAAATTTGATATCAGTGCTCATTTTTATTTATCAAGGAACATTACACAACACCTTATGAACTTAGAATGTTCTTCCAGTAACACTTAAACTAAGAAATGAAATCGTCAAAAAAGTCTGAACATTTTGATAGAACGATAGACAACAAAGATCCACGAAACAGCTCAAAAAAACCATTTCGTTCCCGCCTCGTCTCGCCAAGGATCTAGTTATGTATAAGTAAATTGTGAATGTTTTTACAGATCATTTCAGGAGTACTTGACGAAGTATGACCATCGTCATGAATAGTGAACCAAATATCTTGTGTTACATTGATAACATCAGATGGGAGAATTGACGAATTAGGTGTACACAGACTACCTATCTAGAATTAAATTTATATTGTAAATTATTTAACTAACTCTCAGAACAAGATTAATACGCACTACCAATTATAGAAATAAAAATAATAGACTAAACCGAACACATATATATGTATCTATGTATTCTTGTCTTCAGTGACAATATTTATACTTAAAACATATCTACAACAAAATGGGCAGATGTCGTTAAAGAATCGATATCCACTAAGCAAAAACTGTATCGTAAGGAGACAGAACGAATCATCAAATCTCATATCGTCTCGCCATAGAAAATCTTGTCTTGCTTCGCAATGGAGAGGTGTAACTCGACGGTTTACGAATCTCTGGTACACAAGCTCATATCCATCAATTAACATAATAACGATGTCAAGTCAACTTCTTTTCTAGTATCGATGAGAAAAATTCATTATCGAATAGTTCAAATATAAATCTTGGACTACTTATTTTTCGAAGAATTCGTTACTTCTATTAATTGGAAAAAAAATAATATTGAAGAAAAGTCATATTAAATAATTGAAACATGCAATTAAAAAATTACAACAAAAAGATGTTTTAGAAATTCTTTTTATATCTTCAATTGTTCGTTTAAAGATTGGCCTCGAACAATAATGAATGTTATTTACATTAATACAAAAAAAAAGATTCTATTTTGTACAGAATAAAGAAATGAAGTTTTTGACAAAAAAAAATTAAGTCTGAATCAACGAATATTAAAATGGATACCATTAAAATACAGAGAAGTCCATTATTTCTGAAACATTTGTTATTTTAACTAAGAAAGAAATTCTATAAGACAAGGAATATTTCTCTTTAGATTTGATATTTCGTAATAATTATAATATTCTAATCAAATAAAGATTATTGATTTTTTTTTAGATTGAAAACTTCAGTCATTGAAACTATCAATCCAAGAATTCAACTTGAAAAGACATAAGAACAAAATTACAAGATAAAACATTGAACAACGATCACGAGCTGTTGGTATAGAATAATATAGAGTATATTGTTTGTGTTTAAAGAATGATATTATGTTACTAAACAAGTGACATTATAGTTTTTTATCGGACTGAAAGAGACATAGACTTCGAACTTATTCTCAATCGATTTTCATTATATCTTTTCTTCACACTTATTCGTTTGATTAATGTCAAACTGAACATAGATAATCGAATAGTTATTCATCAGTCGAAAGATATCTAAATCATACTTAATTTCATTCTTGAATAAGACTCGTTATGTGTATCATTGGTAAATAAAGCAAAAACTTAAACAATCAAAGATATGAACATAAAAAAAAATATCTTGTGGATTGTAAAAATACTGTTGAAATATTTATTGAATTTAACATCCACTGATACATAATGCTAATATTTAGTGTCATTGCATAAAATTTATTTTCGTTATGCATTCCGTATACATAATCAAAGTCATTAAGTCTATTTAGAAATACATGAGAACAAATATTAAAGTAAATATGATAAAGCTCATTATAATCAAAAACAATACTAAGAATAGAATTTAAAAGTAGATATTGATTCGATTGAAAGACTTAAACTTTTGAAAACAAAAACAAACAAGAATTATTGATATATCATTATTAATACAAACAAATCTGCAAGATGACAGACAAAAAGAAAAAGTATATCTTCAATTCTTTTTTAATAATGAAAATGTGTTTGTCTTTATATTTATATAAAACTTGTGTGCATCACAATGACAAGAAGAATAAGACAAGCAAGCATAAAATTATTCGTACTTGAATATACAATAACGAAAGAGTTAACAGATATTCTCATACCGGGAATATAATTATGAGAAAAAAAAAGAAATAAAACCATCAAGACAAACGCAAAAGACTTAAAACCAATGTTTACGTTTAAAACATGCAAGCATAAATGTAGCAAGAGTAGCCATAACAGTTAAAACAATATAATAACCATATTTATATGTAAGTTCAGGCATATTTTGAAAATTCTTTAAAAAATAAAAATAAAAAAAGAAATGAAATGAAATGAAAACAAAATATTATAAAAGAATATCTATTTACCATGCCATAAACTCCACTAATAAAAGTTAATGGAATAAATATCGTTGATATAATTGTTAACGTTTTTACAACTTCATTCATAGCATTTGAATTAAGCATCATATAAAAATCAATAAATGATGCTAACATTTCCCTGTATGTATCAATAGAATCATTAACTTGTACAACATGATCAAATAAATCTTTTAAATAAATATTTGTACTTTCTTGCATTATTTGTGTTTCTTCTTCTTTTTGTAATTTAATTATTATTTCTTTTAATGGTGATATTATTGCACGTAAATATAACATATCACGTTTCATATCATATATAGATTCTAATGTATCACGTTTAAGTGTTTTCATTAATTGATTATCAATGGATTCAACTTTTGTACCCATTGTATCAAGTACATCCATATAATGATCAACAATAACATCAACAAGTGAATAAAAAAGATAATCAATTTTAGATTTTCGAATACGACCTTTTCCTTGTCGAATACGATCTTTTCAATAAAAAAAAAAAAGAAACAAAATAAAACAAACTCGTTTTATATAAAATATATATATGTAAGAAAAAAATTTCTTACTTTTTATTGAATCAAATAAATCTTTTGGAGTTTCTTGAAATGTTATAAGAAGATTTTCTTTTAAATAAAAACTAATTTGTTCAATAATTGTATGTCCTGTACGACCAATATCACGAAATATTAATTTACATACAAGAAATAAAGCATCATCAAGTACATCTAATTTTGTACGTTGTTCTGTTGTTGTTATATCTGTTTGAACAAGTGCATGAATATCATAACGATTACCAATTTGTGCTATTATATCACGTTGATGTACACCATCAACATCTATCCCTAAAAATTATAATCAATATTTATTTTAAATAATTTTCTTAAGTCAAATAATCAAATGATAAGATTTTACAAGATCATATCGTTAATCTTGTAAGATCAAACGAAAAATTATAGTCATTAAAAGATTATAGGAAATTTTATGTGTAATAATAAGATCTTTCAAGAATCTTATAGCATGAGATCATTTGATCTTACAAAATGTTACGGTTGATTTATTTTTGCCTGAATTTATGTTTTTTTTTTTTTATAAAGACTATTTTCTATAAGACGAAAAGAAAATGAATGATTTGAATAATATTCAAATAGAGAATTGAAGAAAATGAACTTGTATATTATTGAATTTGTTTAGTAGAAAATCTTATACATGAAAAAAAAAAACAAAGAATACTTCAATATTTTATGGTAATGGTTTATATTATATGATAAATAAATTCAATAGAGATGAAAAAGATAAAGCTCATTTATTTGACCAATAATTGTTAATAGCTATTCATTTTAAGTACAAAAGATATTCATATATAGATATTCATCGACAAAAACAAAACAATGGAGAAATTTATCTATCTTTTTTGCTTATGAATAGTCAATCTCTCAAGTGAACTTATACGATTTATTTATTATCTGAAGACTTCATCGATCTTCTTTTTCTAAATAATACTAATCGATATAAATTCTCAAATGAAAATTTTCCTTTTTCTTTTCCTACAAAAAATACACATTAACAAAAAAAAAGAAAAGAAAGGAATAAGATTGATTGTTTACATATAACTGGCAAAGATGTTGATAATTTCAAAAACATGACATATATTTTTAAGAAATGATCGAAAATGTTTTTGTATTTATTTTCTGATATGATAAAGATCTCCTGTAAAAAAAAAACTACAGTAGATAAAAAAATGTCAATCAGTAGAAACGTTATTTACATGAAATCTTTATGTCATTTTGCTTCGTACTGAAAATTAATCAAGGACAATCATCTGATTTTTTTTCGTTTCTATTTGACTCTTATACATACATAACATCGAAGTCGCTGATGTTAATGGTAAACTTGGGATTTCATCGACTTTTTTATATTTTCCTTCTGTATATGAATTTTCATCATAAGTAAAAACATTTAATTGAACAGGTGATCTAAAGAAAAAAATAATAATAATAATAAATTTAAAATTTCTATAAATCTATTCAATTATTTTAAATATTTTCTTACGTTGGGTCAGAAAAATGCACAAGTGTACCTGATAAACAAGCACCAAATGCGAATTGTGTAAGATGACGATTAACTGATGATCGTCCAGCTGTTGTTGTATGATTTGTTGCACCAATACCTGGTTTTGTGCGTCGAAATGGTATAAAACTTGTCTTACGTCCTGTAAAATTTTTCACCATATTGAATAATGACCTATACACACAAAAAAAAAATCGAACAAAATAAATTAATTTGACTGAACACTAAAAACTAAACTTATTGAAATTTGTGATTACCGATTAATTTACATTTGAATGAAAGAAAACAAAAAGGTCTCGTTTAAGATAGATAAAATAAAAGAATTCGTCGAATTTTGGTCGTTAAAAAGTAGCTATGTCGATGATATTGACAATTCCAATGATTACGATTGTAGACAGTGACGTTTGTCATTAGTTTTACACGATCGACACTACTGTGTGCATGACCGTGTGCATATCAGGAAGATTAATTTTTTCGCCTTTTCTCTTTTTTTTTCTTTTCTTTTCTCTCACCTTTTACATCAAATGAATAGGTAAATAAAACCAATCAGATCATATTTTATCGAAATCGAAAAGCACATTCATTCACATATTTTTTCCTCAATTCTCAGGGACAAATAGAAAAAAGAAACATATGATTTTACAGAAGAATATAATAGAAATATACGTATACCTTGACTTATTATCTGATAGATAAATAAATAAACAAAAAAACGAAAATGAAAACGAAAAAAAACGAATCAACTAATTAAACAAAGACTTTGGTAAATGAAGAAGTATAATCTTAATGTTAGTTGGAGTCAAGCGTGCGTATCATTGTTCTTTGACCTATGAGTCAATTAGTAAATAACCTTCTCGTTGAGATTAAATTGAAGACGAATTTCATAAGTCAATTGAGAAATTTCATAAATGTTTTTCATTATTCAATTTATTCTTCTTGTCATAGTTCTTTTTTTTTTTTGTCAAAAAAATTATTGATGATTTGTTCTATTTTAACATACAAACAAGTTAATAAGAATGTATTCACACGTCTTTGAATGACGTCTCTCGAAAGAAAGTTTTTTATTGGTTAATCGACTGGTTTCTAAGTAACAATTCAATTGAACTTACGATCTTGTTCTTTTTTGTTTTTTCCTTATGGAATAATATTAAATTTATTCATGTCGTCTAATAAAAATCTTCTTCGATTAAATAAACTTTATCGAACACAAGAAAATAGTATTATTAAAACAAATTTTCTTCATTTATTAAAACTTATTAAATAATTCTTTTGTTACATAGGTCTTACTGATGTTGTTCATATAACTGATGAAAATATTCCTAAATATAGACAAGTTAATTATGATGCTATGAGAGATATTATTAATGAAAGAAAAATATGTGGAACACAAGCATTAGAACGAAGTATTGAACATTTTTGTTTTTGTATAAAGTATCTTTTCTTCTTTGTATATAATTCTAGTTTCGAAATTACAAAATGATAGTCATGCTATACGAGAACAAGCAGAATTAAAAATTTCACGTGATTATTGGTTTAATGAACAATATAAATTAAATCAACAATATAGAAAATATGATGATGAACATCAAACATGGCTTACAGAAGCATTTCATGATCCTGATTTATTATCAATATTTCATGAAATAACAAGATATAGAATATGGCTTGATGAAAATACAATTAAATTTCGAAAGACAACTGTTTTACCAATTATTCAATTAAAGTTTGTTGATTTATTTATTTTATTACTTAAATAATATAAATAAAATTTTCTTTTTCTCTCTAGAGAAGAATTACAATCAAAAACAATAACAACAGATAATATTTCGGATATTATTGATGCACTTCAAATAGTAAAAAAAGAACAATATGAATTAATTCTTATACTTAATCAAGAAGAACGACAACTTGAAGATGAATTAAAAGAATGTAATTAGTAAAAATATCTTTCTTTTTTTTTAGCTACGTCCTAATTGCGAACAAAAATTCAATCAATTAACACAAAAGTGTTTGTATTTTTGGAATGTAGCAATTTATATTGATCTTATTTTTAATACGTTTTCAAATTGCGAACATTTTTTAGGTATCAAATAATCGACAGTATTAATTGAAAACAATATATATATATATTAATAGAACAAATGCATCATAGAAAACTTCTCCATAAATTTTGTATTAGAGGCCGATCAACCTCTGTTATTATTCGACATTTCTATCCGAAAAATACAGTTTGAACTTTTTCTGTTAATTTGAGACCATGATTATGATTTGCATAATTTGATTTTATAATTACATTCTTTTAAAAAGTAATGGTATGAAAACATCACTTGATAATAGAAACATAAATTAGTAAATCATTCTGACTTTCACGCCTTAATTGAGTATAAATAATTATTATATAAAATAATTGTTTTAATGATTCACCAAGTAAAAAGTTTGTATATTTCAAAAACTAATTAATCAATATGTTTGTAATTTTGAAACTCATTAAAAATGAAATTAATGTCAATTTCTATATTCCGCATTCCAAACATTTTTGTACTAATTGTCTTAATTTTTGTTCGCAATTTAAAAGCTACAGAAAAAACAATCGAAATTCTACGTAAAAATTTTTACTATTGTAATATTTCTTTATATTTGTATAGTTCGAAAATATATCGATGAAGATGATGAAATAAATATGATTGAAGAAGGTATACCAGAATCAATTGTAGAATTATCTTGTCCAGATGATGAATTGCGTGCAACAATGCTTCAAGAATTTCTTATTATTGATCATAAATATCGAGAAATTCTTATTGATTTAGATGCAAATTACCTTTATATTGTCGAGTATGACATTTTAAATTTTTTTTTTATACATGTTTAAGCGATTTATTTAGTCAAGAAAATGGTGGTTGGGATATTGATGAACATGAAATGTTAGTTCATTTATATGAAATGTATCCTGGTGATGTAAAGAAACGTCGAACATGTATATATAATCATTTTCATCGTTATTATCCAAAACGTTCAAGACAAGAAATGGTAATAAAATTAAAAAATCTTTTCATTATTTTTTATTCTTGATGTTTTATGAATACTAGCTTAAACATGAAGAATGGTATAATGCTCAAACTTATTATCTAAAACATAAACATTTAATTTTATATGAATGGTATTTAGATAATCATTATTTGTTTTTCGATTGATTGGGTCTTTTTTTTTCTTATTAAATATAGGAAACAAGCTCGTATAGCATTAAAATTAAAAGCTCAAGTAGTATTTCAAGAAGCATATGAATTACAAGAACGTTTAGCACAACAACATGAAGAAAAAATGAAACAACGTGCTTTATGTGAACAATTAGCAAATCAAGTAGAATATTAATTTTTAGTTTTCTATGTTATTTGTTTTTTTTTGTTGTTGTTGTTTTTGTATTTAGGTACAAAAATGGAGAGATAAACAACTTGAAATATTAGAAATTAAACGAAAATTAGAAGAATCAAAACGACAAGCTGAACTTGAAAAAATTCGACAAGAACATGAACGATCACAAAAACAACGTCAACAAACAAAAGAAAAAGTTAGTTAAATTTTTTTAATACGATTTTCTATAGAAGTCAAAAAAAAACCAATAATTCAATGAGATATGACTATGTAATTAATATAATAACTTTTGTTTGATATTTTGAGACTTTTTTCTTGAACAGTTAAAATGATTTCGTTCTCAATTTCTGAATTAATCATTTTCGTTGAGAATCACATAGTGCAAAAATAATAAAAAAAAAGAAACATTCTTATTACATTTGAATTATTAATTTAGCTTGCTGAATACTATTCAAAAAAAGAACAAATTCGATTAGCCGAATATGAAAAAGAACAACGACGTTTAGATGAAATGCAATCTATTCTTGCTGAACAACATCGTAAAGATTGGGAACGTGTCAAATTTCGTCAAGAAGAATATGAACAAAAACGACAAGATTTACGTGAACGTAATCAAAATGAAGAACGTGAAGAAATAGCAAAAGAAGAACGTCTTCAAGCACTTGCTGAACGTGTTCGACCTCATGTTGAAATAGATCATGCTCGTGTATTACAACCAACTAAAGTAAATTAATTAATTCTAATTAATAATTAATAAATAATAATACAGATTGATTCAAAAAAATAACTAGACAATAAAAATACTGAATATCTTCAGTCTGCTTTAATCATTCGGACTAGGATTTTTTGTCGATGATAGAAAATTCTTCAAAGATTTTATTAACAAGAAAATTGCCAATGATGCTGTTTTCAACTAGCACTGTCAATCAAAAGTATTTCCGTGTTCTTAAGGCTATACATCTGAAGATTTTAACATATGTACTACTTTAGAAATCTATGTCAACAAGATCAGTCCGATTTAGAAATGTGCGGAACCAAGTTTTTGGATCTCGGTTCTGATCTAAAGAAAACTAACATACGATGCAAAAGTAATGGCACAAAATGTTGACCCCTATTTTACTTCGATAGAAAGGTGCTGAAAGAAAAATTTTTTACCGAAAGATAGAGTTTTGTCTCTTCTTTCAAATTATATATAACTTATTTTTATAACACGTGTGTAAATGAAACGGTACAATAAAAGAGAGAGACACCCTCAAAACAAATCCACACTTTTTGTATAATTTAGAAAAACATCACACAGTGTTGATTCTTTTATCTTTTGGATAAGTCTTTATAATAAACACGTTTTGAAAAGAAAATTTTGTTATCAGTTGATAGGAAATTTTCTCCTCTTTCGAATGGTGTATGTTTTATATCTGTCACACATTCGTAAATAAAAATTAGATGAAGAAGAAAGACTCCTCCAATAAGTTTGCAATTTTTATACGAATCAGTGAAAAATATTGGTAGATGACAGTTAAGCATTATTAATTGTCGTTTTACAAACTGTTTTTAATGAGGTCATAAAAGTCAAAGTAACCACTGTTTCACAAGGGCTTTTTAATGAGTACACGAAAATCAAATTAATTTCTTTCTAACAAGATATTTTTTTGCCTAATTAATATAAGAATTGCAAATTTTTTGCAGGTCTCTTTCTTTCTCTTCTTCATCTAATTTTTATTTACGAATGTGTGACAGATATAAAACATACACCATTCGAAAGAGAAGAAAATCTCCTATCAACTGATAACAAAATTTTCTTTTCACAACGTGTTTATTATAAAGACTTATCCAAAAGATAAAAGAATCAACACTGTGTGATGTTTTTCTAAATTATACAAAAAGTGTGGATTTGTTTTGAGGGTGTCTCTCTCTTTTATTGTACCGTTTCATTTACACACGTGTTATAAAAATAAGTTATACATAATTTGAAAGAAGAGACAAAGCTCTATCTTTTGGTAAAAAATTTGTCTTTCAGCACCTTTCTATCGAAGTGAAATAGGGGTCAACATTTTGTATCATTATTTTTGCATCGTATGTTATTTCGGAATTTATTTGTATCACATTTAAAGAAGTTCTTGAATATTTGCTTTTTGATTTATTTGTTATCCACTAAAAATTTCCCATGTCTACTTCAATGAATAGATCAGATACGACAGTTTCTTTATAAATAAAAACATTGTCGAATTTTCTATTAGCGAGAAAAAAAAATCGACTCGATTGATTAAAACAGACTAGAAATATTAAAATTATCTTATATATTCTAGGCATATAATGCTCATCGTGGTTTATTAACAAATACAAATGATGATATTAATATACAACAAGAATTATTTCCTATTAATACATTTAATGATCGAAAATTATATAGTGATATTCGTATTCGTCTTGAACAACGTTTACGTGATGCTGGTTTAATACAAACAGATTATGCACGACAAGCATTAGCTGCATTACAAAAACCACCAAAACGTATTGATACACAAGCAAATCAAATGTGGAATGGTTTTACATTTAAAACAGATAATATTGAACAACATAATATATCAAAACCAATAAAACGAGATTTTATTAGTCATTCAGTATTTTATGGAATAGAAAATTAAATATTATTTTTTTTATTGAAATAACACGAAAAAAATGAAAAGATAAAGAAAAAAAAGACCACAGATCATTTCTTTACATAAATAAATACATAAAAATTTTATACAATAATAAGTATTAGTCAAAATATTTAATTTAAATAAAGTGTTAGTACGAATATCGAAAACAATTTAATAAAAAAAAAATTATTTTATATAATCTTTTCATTATTTTCGTTTTCAATAGAATATATTCCTGTTAAATCAGATTTTATCGTATATGGTAATAATGTATGTGTTTGTATTAATAAACCATTATCTGTTGTTGTTGATGAATTACAATTTGTTATATCAAATAATGGTTCCAATGATTTATAATATTCTTCATATGTTACACTATTTGCTTCATGATCATCAGTTGTTAACATAGATGTTTGTTCATTCATATAAGATTTAAGTACATCTGGTCGACATGGACATTCAAAATGTACACAATGAAATACTTCATTAGCTGTATTATGTGTACCACATATACGTATAAAAACAACAATACGAGGAGAAAATGTTAAGATTTCCCATGATCTATACAACAAGAAAAAAACAATAGATATTCAATAAAATATAAAGTTGTGAAAAAGAACAAAATTTAATAACAACATATTGTTCTATAATGTTAAGCAGTTAGATTAAATCTTGATAGTGATTGTAATAGCCAATGAAGTTTTCTATACAATGCATTCATTTCATAGATGAAGATTTCTAAAAACTCGGAAACGGTTTTTTTACCGGTTTTTGTGATATGTTTTACTCTTTTAAGAAGAAGGTTCTACTAAATGCAACGATCTCTCAATCTGTTCAAAAATTTGTGCTCTTTAAAATGATTCTGACAGTCTGCTAGAACCTAAAAACTACCGTATCTGATTTTCTTAGAAACCTTCCCAATATAGTTCACCTATGAAATCTTAGTATCGAGTGCATTGCCTATTAAAATCACTATCTGGATTTGAGCTAGGTGCTTAACGTTGTAAAAAATACGTTGTTGTTAAACTTTTTTTTCACTATCTTACATATAAAAAGAAAACTTACTTGCAAGCAATTGCTTGTTTATCAACAGCTTTTGTCCATGTTACATTATCATATGAAGTTTCAATGTAATAAGAATACGAACGATTATCACAATCCCATAATAATAATCTAATATAAAATGAAATAAAAGTTTATTTTAATTACAATAATCATTCGTCTTAGAATAGAAGATTTCAAAAGAAAAATGAAAGCATTTTTCGGATAGCATGAATATTGCAGTGCTGACTTTGGCAGTTGACTCTCGACAATTACCAAAAGTTGTGTTGTCATTGAAATTTTGTTTTCAATTGGACTGGGCTTTCAGCAATTGTCGAAAATTCAGTTTTATGTAAAGACGGAATTTCGGCACTGCCAAAGGTTCTGTAATAGACTGTTGACATTAACTCGTAATTAAATGGAAAATTACTAGACTTTCGACAATTTCTTCATTAACTACAGTCTTTGGGCAGTATATAAGTTTGATGCTGTCGAAATTCTTCAGATCAGATCTTCTTGACTTCCTGAACTTATGACTATTGGTGTTAGCATTCGAATCCATTAGTTCACTAACCGTTATAACTCCAGGACAAGCAGTTAGTCACTTATTGCCGAAAGTGTATTAATTAAAGAAGCTGCCGAAAGTTGTTTTTCTCATTTGACTTTCGGCTAGAGCAAGACTGAGTTTTTGGCAATTGCCGACAGTTCAGTCCCCTTACAGACGAAAGTCAAATGAAAATATAACTTTCGGCAATTGTCGAAAGTCAACTGCCAAAGTCAGCACTGAAAAATTCGCGTTTCCCCATTTTTCTCCACGATAAAAATAAGAACGGTAAAAGCTATACGTATTAATATTTCAATTAATTAAAAGAAAGTTTTCTCCTATGTTCAATGCATTTTTTCTTTCGATAAATATTACATAGATATAACAAGATCTTCTTTTCCTTAGTCACTCACATGAAATATTCTGTTCGGACGTTAAATATCAATATTATATTCTCTTAATATACTTTGCGTAAATATTAACTGTGATTTAACATTATAAAGTACAGGCAAAAAGTTTAGAAATTAAGTATTTTTGACTTTTTTCCTTAATGGTAACAATTAGAATAAATCAAAGAAAATATTTAATTAACTGGAACAATCTCTTATCAAGATAGATACGTATTAATTTCTCATTAACAGGTTGAAGTAAAAGCTCCCTGAAAAAAACGTTTTCTGGGTTCTGTCAAAGACATTTTTGCAAACAAGTTCATCTAGTAGAGAAAACATTTCTGAATAAGATAGAATGTCCCAAAGCTCTCCATAATCTAACTTGAGTTAACTGCACTCATCCTATGAAAGGTCTCAGAGTATAAAACACAGTAAATTCATATAAATTTCCATAAAAACAACAAAAAACAGCCTCGTGCACGATTATTATCGTTCGCTGGAAATAATCCGTGGAGAATTCGGATACATCTTATTTTATTTAGAAATGTTCTCTCTATGGGATGAACTTGTTTGCAAAATGTTTCTCATAGAATCTAGAAAACTGGTTTTGGTTTCCTTGAAATCTTTCATTCAAACTTATTAATGGGAATTTGATAAATATCTATCCGAATATGAAATCGTTTCAACTACTCAAATTTTGTCTCCGATTTGTTCTAGTTGTTACTGTTAATGAAAAAAGTTAAAAATACTTCGTTTCTAAACTTTTTTAGTCTCATCTTGTTTATGGTATCATCGAGTTTGATCAATTTTAATCTTAAGACTAAATAAATTGGTTCGATCTTTATATTTAAAATTAATCTTTTTTTTTTCTATTTTTAATTATAGTTAATTTCGATGAAATAGGAAAACCAAGAAATTCATCGTATTTAAGTGTTAACGAGAACAATAAAAAACATATTTCTACATTTCATCAAACTTGTCATATCATATATATATATTTACTTTACAACCATCTCTCATCTTCAAATCAGAAAAATATTCACCTCATTGAACTAACAACATGTGGTTGACATAATTGAATAACAATTCCACCTGAACCAAGTTGATGACATGTATATCCTAATTAAATTAAAAAAAAATTTTTTTCTACCCAAGAAAAACAATGTCAGTTTTTATTTTTATTAATACCTGAATCCCAATCATAAGAAAGATAATCTCCATTGATCAATGCATTTCGTACTCGACTAACACCTTCGGATACAACAGCACTAGCTTCTAATGTTGCTACATTATTTACTGGAGCTGAAAAAAAATAAAAAATAAGAATAATATATATATGAACTTTTTCTAGTTTCTGTTTATTTCATACCATATATATCTCCAACGAGTGCAAATGGTTTTTGAATATAATAAACTTCCATTGAAACAAGATGAAATACTTTATTAACAGTATTATATGTACCAACAATACGAATTGATCTAAAAAGATTTATTATTATTTTAGAAAATATTAATTTTAATAATATACGTTGCAACAATAGGTGCAAAATATAATTTTTGCCATGAACGACATAAATATGCACGATAATCAATAATACGTGTCCATGTTACATCATCAGCTGATACTTCAACATAATATGAATATGCACTAGAATAGAAAAAATAAATTTAATTTATTCATATTAATAAATATTTTTCTTTTCTATTACCGAGTATCTTTATCCCAAAGTAATAATTTAATATGATTAATTATTGATGGTCCATCTAATTTAACACAAATATTATGTAAATCATCGATTGGATGTCTAGTAAAACCACGATCCTAAAATTTAATAAATTTAATAATTGTTTGTTTGCATAAAAATATAAATGTTACGAACAAGATCATAATTAGTTATATCACCATCGAGTAGAGCATGTTTCATTTCTCCTAGAAAGAAAAATTTACTTATTAATATTAAACTTGAGTATTCTTTGAATAGTATTTAGTCAAAAAACTTTCAAGAATAATAAAGAAAATTAAATGGTACAACAAATTCAATTCTGTTGTCCAATATATTGTAGAGATTGGCAAATCTTGATTGCAAACACTAACTCGAAGTAGATTAGTCTTATTGAGAAAGCTTTAAGACGACAGCATTAATTTTGTTCGCGAAAGTCCAAAAAAGCGATTTTGATATTTTCCTGATTCTCTACGATTTTAACGTGTTATCGTCCATTTTCTTATTAAGAAATAAAGCTGAGTAGAGTTCTCATTACAAAAAAATTTCGAGGTAAATAGTTGAAACTATGAGTCTCTTAGAGGCAACATATTGTATTGACCTTCTATCTCCTCCGTATGATGGTCGATCAAGTCTTGATTGGCTCTTGCGATCAGAGTTCAACTTATTCTATTTATGATGAAAATATGAAACCAAAGAATTGAAGTTTAGGTAATTTTTCACTGGCAGTGAAATTTTCTGTGACTACGGTATATCTCGAACACAATCACTAGGATAAATATCTTTTATTAAATCAGTACATAAGAGTATTGTATGAAGAATAATTGTATTAACCATCATGAAATGTTTATATTTATTCTAAATGTTTTTCTTTTAAATTTCTATTTTTCTATTAATATTCAAAATATTTTTACCTTCTATAACTTGAGCATGATGTGATTTTGTTGCAATATTTTCATCTAATCCTATTAAATAAAAAAAACATTTTTTTAAAAAAAAAAAAAAGAGAATGTTTCAAAATTATCTTCAAATATTCTTACTTAATCTTCCACGATAATTTTTTCCTCGTATAAATAAATCTTTATTATTTCCTAATTGATTTATATTATCATCATTATTATTTATTGTTGTTCTTGTTTCATCATTAATTGAATCAATAGCATCCATTAAATGATTAAGATCAAATAAATTTGAATAACGTACAATTTTTAATAATTCATTCATTGACATTAATGTTAAACGTACTTTTGATACAATATCATTAAGTGGATTCCAATTTTCATCTTGTTCTTGATAATGATTTTCATGCCATTTTTTAACTGCATAAAATATTTCAATTTCAGGACAATAAAATGAATCACGTGCAATTATTGATGAAAATGCTTCCTATAATATGACAATGCATTAATATTTCTTATCAGTTATATAAATATATAAAAAGAAAGAAAAACGATAAAACACATCAGTTATATTCATCAAAATGATGTTACAAAATGTATTTATTCAAATTTTTCTTACGACTTTAATATTTATAATAAATGCTCAATATCCAGTACCTATTCCACCAGGTGGTCGAATGGCAGTACACGGTTGGCTTATACTTCCATGGGATACAAATGTAACTGATGGTCCTATTCAAGCATGGTTTTCTCATCATGTTCCAAAATTTGGAATAGATTCTCCACATAATTTTCAAATAATTCTTAATGGTCTATTAACTCCATTATCTTGTTTTAATACTGAATTAATTCCACAACCTATACCAATACCATATCCACCAAAAGATAATCTTCTTCAATATGAATATACAATAACACCTCCTCCTGCATTTTCATTAAATGATCTTTTATTAGAAAATTTAACGGAATTTAAAGGTGTTATTTATAATGGTTCATTTGATACAATTTATGAACGTATTCCACTTGCTTTAGGTATATTAACTATTCGACAATTAACTACAAGTGTTTATTTAAATGAATCACAATTAATTCCAACATATCCTGATTTACGTTATCTTTCATATCCACGTGATATGTCATCAACAGGTGATACAAAACCATTTCAACATATGTATTTTATACATGAAATTCATTCAATACCTGATTTTGATCATATTATTCATGTTATTATTGATACAACACGATGTCATTGTGATAGAAAACATTCATTATTATGTAATAATAAAAAACTTTTACAACAAATTCGTACACCTGGTATTGAATGGTCATTTCCAACATTAACAAATGATGTTAAAAATCGTTTATTACCTCCTATGATTATTAAAGGTCGAATAACAGATGGGCCTGTTATGTGTCCAATAACTATTCTCGAATCCATACATTGTATGATTGGACCAAATTTTGATGAAAAATGTTAAGCAAAAAAAAAAGAAAAACATAAAGACTTACAGATGATAATGTTAAAAATTCATTTGTTTTAATTATTTCCGGTGCATGATTATCAATAAATCGAGCTGAATGTTGTTTAAGATTTTTTAAATTATAAAGACAAGCTGTATCATAAATTGTACAAACATTTTTTAATGATAAAATTGATTTTAAATATATTGATAAACTAGTTTCTAATTGTTGAAAACCATATTGATGTACAAGACCAAGTAAATCAAGTAAAATATCTTCCTTTAAAAAAAAACAAAAAAAGAATTAATATGATCATTAGAAACAGAAAATAAAATTTTCTTTTTCTACTTTTTCTTTAAGTAAATTAATTCGTCCTGTATAAATATATTGTAAAAGAATTTTAAATGCTGCTGATTGACATTCTTTTATTTCAATTATATGATTATCACATTGAGATTCACGTAAACCTCCATAAAGTAAGGCACGAAAATATTCTGAACGTGCAGCTAAAATAATACGATGAGCATAAAAATGTTCCGATTCAACTAATAATTCAATATCACTGTAATCAGATTGATTAAAGAGATTACCTAAAAAATAAAAAAAAATGAATTATTTATTCGAAAGGAAATAGATTTTCAAATAATACGACAGATTTCTAATTTATAAAAGGATAATTAAAAGAATATTTTTGTCTTGCAGTATAGGATGCTACTAAGTGGCAGATTTAGTCATCCGATTTATTAATATCAACTGCAGGTCTAGACAAAAGATTAAATCTATCCATATACGCTAGCTAGAAGAATAGGTATATGTCACAATATAGGTCAGTATGCTATCGGGTGAGTGATTTGAGATAACACTAGCCGTATAGCAACTTGTTCAGTATTATTTCGTGACTGTTGATACTGAGGTTTGAACACAGTACCTTGTAGATACATGTCGAATAATGTGTAATCACTCAACCATGGCGAACAAAGGACAAATGATGATGCATGAAATCGACATTATCATATGTCTCATATCGAATGAAGGAAGGTTTTTATTTGTAGATTTCATTCAGTAAACATGTGTTATTATTCTATATAATAAATTTAATAAATGTTTTTTGTTTAGTCTTATTATTTTGAATAAATTGAGTTTTATTGGATTCGAAAAAAACTTCATTTTACTCTCTGTTTCTTTTGGCTAATAAACACATATTAAAATATTACAAAGTACTGTATTCTATGTTACATCTTTTAGAAAAAAGTTCAGTTCGAAATGATAAGAAATAGCATACGTATGACGACAATACTGAGCGATTTATTTATTCTATTGTATTCAATATAACTTTGATGACATAGATAATCGGCAATTCAATGATGTTTCGAAATGAGATAAATAATTCATGTAATTCAAGGTTGAAATTAAATCAGTTTTAAATAATTTCAAAACCTTATAAATATCTTTCATTATAAACAAACAAAAAAAAGATAATCAAAGTTAGAAAATATGTCAATGAATTTAATAATTCGACAAGGAGAAAAAGTCAAATTTTATTTGATATCATTTTTAAAAATTTATTTCGATATATGAGTGTTTAAAATTCTTATTCGAAATAAATTAAGATTTAGTCTTTAGAAAATTTTCTCTTGAATATTTTATCGGACAAAAAAGAAAATTATCTTTATCAATAAATAAAATGTATAGAAAAATGTTCTTTGTTTTTCTTTTTCTCATAACAAAAAAAAACTAATTCTCTATCGACATCATTTGATTTTAAACGCATAAAAATAGAATTACATATTCTATAGTTACATACCAAAATCTCCCGAAAGAGCCGATGTATGATTTATGTCTCCTAAACTATCAGACGTCTCAACTGAATTCGATCTATGATTGTTATTATGATTATTAACTGATTGATTTTGACTATTAATTGCTGCATTTGATAAAGCATGTTGTTGCCAAGTTGACATAATTATCTATAATAAATATAGACAAATATTAAAAAAGCAATTATATAATAATTACAAAACAAAAAAAAACACAAGAATTCAAGAACTTTAATCTTCTTTTTTTTTTTGTTCAATATTGTTAAATAAACTAACCTCTTGTCGTCTCAAAGTTGTTCGTCTTCTAAACATTATTCAATCGCATAGACAACGAAGGTAATGAATAAATGAAGAAAAAAAACAAACTCACATGTATCTTTTCGATAGATTATGTAAATTAGATAAAAAAAAGACCTACGTCATTTTGATGTCAAAAAAAATTTCTATTTTTTAATCTTATTTTTTTTTGTTTTTTGAAGTAATTTGATCAGATAGAAAAAAAAAAAAGAAATATTTTATATAAAAGAATATTCATTTTTCTCGAAAGATGATTAACTAACTCAATTTCTCGCTATTGACAATTGATTAGTTAGGTGATGATAGATAGTTCGTTCCAATAATTATTTGAAGTTGAGAATAAAACAAACAAACCAAACAAATAAGAAATCCTTAGATGTCACTAAAATACAAGTTTAAAAGAAAAAAAAAAAAAAAAAAAAGGGTCAAAACAATTTTGCTAGATAATAAGTATTTAGCATTTAAAGAATTATAGATACATTTTAGTCTAATTTTTATGTAATTGATTTGAAAGAAAAGAATTATTATTGTATAATGATTGTTTAGAAATTCTCCAAAGACAATAATCATTTCTCTAATATAGCAAATAATTAAAGAATAAATTCTAATATATATAAACGATAGTATTGTTTTTCCCTAATGTCACAAAATATAAAAAAAAACCTAAACTAAACTCATGTTTGAATATGATTAATGAATAATGAAATGAAAAATATTTCATATTTATAAATACTCATTACGATTCTATTTGACCTAGTCTCCAATGAGTTTTTAGAACCTATAAATTATCTTTTAATCATTTATAAAATATTAGAATATGAATGATTCTGTGTCGATAAATATTAACATTTTTTCTAAATTCATGTAACATTACAAACAAGATCATAATAACCTAGTAAGTTTATTGCGTGACAAGAAGACTATTCGTAAGTGTAGTTGACATCAGAGACACGGAAGAAAAACATTAAAGAAATTGCATAGAAGAGACAGCAAATATTCGTGTCATAGAGCGAGATATGCCAAGTTAAATGAAATTCTAAATATAATTAGAGGTATGATGTCCTTATTTTTTTTGCCTCATAAGACTTTTGCAAGACACAGTATATATATATATATCTTTTGAGATAATGTTCAATAACAATGATAAATTATAGATAATATTACTAATAGCTATTCATTCGTGATCAAATTTTAGATGGAAAAAAAAAAATTAAACCATCAGAATAATTTTAAAACGAATCCTTAACACGAAAGGAATGTTCTTTTTTAAGTATCTTTTGTTCTCTTTATTATAATGAATGTCCTTTTAGCTTCAAAGAATAAAGGGAGACTATAAATAATCACGAGTAAGTCTTTTTTTGTCTTTTGGAATAGGTTCCTTCAATTTCTAAAAGCATATATATATATAATTTTTCATATAAACGCCTACAATCAAAATTCTTTAATAAATACTTGACTTTTAAGATTTTATTCGATATGTTTTGACATCAATTATCTTACAGTTTCCTGAAGCATTATAAAAGCATGACTAGATAGAAACTCCAGGTAAACCAACATATAAATATTCTTCATTGTACTGGAAAAAATGAATGCAAAAACAAAAATATATCAATAAAAAAAAAGCAACACAACTAAATCAGATTAAGATTTTATTTTTTTTTTTTATTCATGATAGTCCTATTATAGTTAATCTTTGCAAAAGTATTAATGTTCTTTAAAGACTTTGTAATCTCATTAAATTTGCAATAGTCTGATCCAAAGAAAAAAAAAAAACAAAAAAACAAGATTCATTTGAAATAAATCTATGGTACATTATCATATGGAATCTTCATAGTCCACTTCTCAGACGAAATGTGTCGAGTTAGATGACATATGCATGAAGTGATCTTGAAAAAAAAAAGACTTCATAATTGTGCACTTATTTTTATCCTTGAGATATTCTAACTAACTAGATGAGTATACTTGACAAATTTTTTTTTCTTGTTCCTGTTGCCTCTTCATAAATACTATTCCTTTCCTATCTAGAATTCTAAAAAATTTATATATTATCGACAAATGATTTGATTAAAGAAATGAAATATTAAACAAAATAATCAACTATTGTGTGCTCGAAGGCAAATACATCTCGGCATACCATATAAGCGAACTTTATGATCGCCTGCTGCTTTATCCGGACTCGATTGACTTCCGACTAAAATATTCACTCATATTGACATATATTGCGACAAATGCCGATTGGTAGCATATATAGTTCGTCATGTTCTCTAACTTATATAAGAATATGTAATGGTTTAAATGATAGACATTTATGTTTTAAACAAAATCAATCGTTCATCATGATCTTGGATTGCACAATGTATGATATATTTTTTCCTTTCAATAAAATATATTATTAAAAAAAAACAGGGTTATATATAAAAAAGAAGAATAGGGCTAACATTTCATTATTCAACATATATAGTTTCGAAATAGTAATGACTTATTGTAGTTAGTCTTATTTTCTCACTTGCTCATTCATACATGGATGTAGACCCCTCTCTAGAGGAATTTGATCTCAAAAAAATGTGAAGAAAGCGGAAAGAAAAGAGCGACATCAAACTAGAGAAACACCAGAAGAGAGTGTGAGAAATAGAAAAGGGAGAAAAAAAAGAGAAAAGAAAAGAAAAGAAAAGAAAAGAAATACGAGTATATGAAAATGATAATTAAAATGACAAAAGAAAAACGACAGTGTCTTCTGGCTAATACGAATGTAACATGAAAAATAAACGTAAACTAGTCAAATAAGTACCCGATGACAGTTTGTCTTGTCTCTTGCACTTTCTTTTATTAAAGTGTTTGTATTATTTCTTTTTTTTTTGTTCTTAACATCCTTTTCTGATTAAGATTATTTTTTTTTCTTCAATTAGAATAAATAGGGAAACAATGAACAAAGAGTTATTGGAACAAAAAAGAATATATTATTCTACTCGTTATATATATATTTATAAACAGTAGACAAATGTAGTTTGACTATTTTTTATCAATATATTCTAGTCTGTTATTAGTATTTTATACATTGTAGGGGGGAGGGGGGGGGGAGAGGGGGGCAACGTGCTGGTGGCCCTCCGGCGATCGAGGTTGGTACTTCTGGAGTTTGCGGATTTGCACTGCATAAGAAATTTTTTTTGTCTTTTTCAAAAATTAGATATATTCATCCCTCCGAAAGAGAAAACACTATATGCTGTTGTCAATTAATGATTTGACATTTAAGTGCATGTAATATAATTATATTATAGTTTTTTTTTTAAAACTTAAATGCCAACGACTTATTTATATTTAACAAAAAAAAAGCTTTTTCTTTTACTTGTGAAAGTAGGGATTCATATGAGGCTTTTGTTTTTTCTGAATGTATCCTATAATTTCTATTTTGTGACATTTTTTTTTTTTTATTATTATCAAAACTGAAGAGGAAAAAAAAAAAAGAAAGAGAAAATCAAATAATCTAAATCTACTCAATCAAATCTGATATAGATTACATCATATCGATCTTCCTTCATTATAGAACAAGGACATAAAAAGCACTTGAGATTTCTTTTTTCTTTGTTTTTCTTCTATTTCTTCTTCTTCTTTTTTTTTCTTGTTCTCTATATCTTTCTATTGTTTCCGATTTTAGAGCATGAGTAAGTGGTAAACCAGTTTCATTATCATCATTTCTATTTACGCTACTCTTTTGTATAGGTCCACTAGTCTTGCATTTGCTTATATCTACATATATTTTAATTTATATTTTTGCTTTTTTGATTTCAACTAAGTATATAATGAAGAATTCCCAAACGAATTCTTTTCTTTCTGATTATATAGTTAATTTAATATGAATAAATTTTTGACTTAATTCTTTTCTTTTAGATATAAACTTTTCTTTTTTTGTTTTTTGTTTTGTAAGATATGAGTGATTTATTTAAAATACGTTCATTTGTTGGAAATCAAGTTGAAAGATTATCATCACCGAAAAATATTCTTGTTGATAAATTTCGACAAACTGTTGATCAAATTAAATTACCATTTTCAACAACAACAACAACAACAACAACAAATAATAATGAACGAGGTGATGATTTAACAATGAATGAACCACCACTTAATTCACGTCCATCTGAATCTTCATCGAATTCATCTGTATCATCAACTGAACAAACAAATTTTACTGCGCCTATTTCAAGTAAATCAATAGCACGTTCAAATCAATCAACACATCCTCATTCACAAAGACTTTCAAGTCTTTTATCACCAGCATCACCAATATCATCACCAAAACTATTATCAAATTTTAAAACTTTAACCGATCGTTTGTCACGTCGTCAATCAATACTTCGACGTCATGTTTCAGAATCAAATCAAGCTGATGAAACACTATTAACAAATAATGATGACAAATTTTTATCACAATCTATCGATCAAAATAATCCATCGAATGAAATAAATCTTTCATCAAATAATAATAATATTAATCATGATTTGAATGCAATAACTGATGTAACAACAAAATTATTAGGTCGATCACGTTCTCTTATTCGACAATCAACTGATACAACATGTACATTTCCAATACGAAATCCACTACGCCGTATGGAATCTATTGAAACAGTTGAAATACCTGGTTTAAATGGTGTTAAATCTATACGTTATTTACATGATAAACTTGGCAAATTACAACCTGATCTTTATATGAAACAAATATTACAAAGTGATCCAACATATGGTTGTGGTAAATTAACATTTACACTTTTTTATAATCAACAATTAACATCATTAATTGTAACTATTTTATCTATTGATAATTTACCATATAGAGATATAAATACAAAAATTTTACCAGATCCATATATTAAAATTATTTTATTACCAGATCGAAGACGAAAATTTCAAACAAAAGTTCATAAACGTACACAATCTCCACATTTTAATGAAACATTTCAATTTCAAATAACTTATGAAGAATTAAGTCGAAGAATATTATTATTATCTGTTTATGATTTTGGTCGATCAACTAAACGAAAATTAATTGGAACAGTTAAAGTAGATGATGTTTCAACAATGCCTGATATAACATCAAATGATATTACATGTATAAGAAGCATTGTACCTGGCACTGAGGTAAAATGATGACGTGACTAAAACATTTTTGATATCCGTTTTATTTTTTTTCGTTTCCTGATTGACGCGTAAAAAAAGAAAACGATGCCGGAAATTAACCCGCGAGTATAACAAAAAAACAACAACAGTAACTCATAGCAGTCGAACAGGTTTCGTCGATTTTTATCGATGTGCATATCCGCCTGTAAATGTTCATTAGAAAAAAGAAAGAAAAGAAAGGAAGTGTCTAAATGAGTTTTGTTTCAATTGAAAACTTTTGAAATAAGATTATATAAAAATTGAAATTATAATTATAATCATGACCTGTATATTTTTTTTTTATATCAATGATCATATTAATCTTTTTTTTATGTGTTCTTTTAATGAAACAGCAAAGAGTATGTCAACATTCTATTATGCAAACTATTATTCTTGACATAATTGATTAGATTGGAATGCGAAACATAGAAATAGAAAAGAAAAACAGAAATCTGAGATAAAAATTTATTCGCTTGTCAGAATTACATTTTTTTTTTAACGGTATGAAAAATAATAATCATAATAATACTAATGTCGATAACAACATTGACGAGCAATCGGCAAGTTCGTTCATTCATTATAAAGTACAAAAACGTTCGAGGCCATGCTAATTCTATTGAGAATTGTTTGATAGAAAGAGCAACATAACATGCAATACTAATCAACCAATGTAATAGTAGATGTAAAAGAAAAAAAGAGTTCACGCTATGACAATACAAGGCTTGCATACGTATTATTCAGCAAAAAACGAAAAAGAAATAGTTACACTTAATTCTTTTAAATTAATGAAATTTGTTATATTAAGCAAAATTAATAAGAAAAATCAATTTGATTATAGACTTGTTTAACATAGTTGTAAAAAAAGAACACTTTCAATCAAATATCATTATAATGTAAAAGAAAAAAAAAAGAAAACAAAAGAATAAATATACTCATTAAGAATAATATATTTAAAAAAACGAGTAAAACATAGGCATCAATTTTCGGAAGATATTTGTCAGCAGATTTTTATTTCAATAGAATAAATGATTATGAAGAGAAATGATTATTTGTTGTTAGTTGTTAAGAATCAGATTATGTATCATGAATGTAATAAATAGATATCGAAACGAAGTGTATGTTTTAGAAAAGAAAGAATATTTCCTTTAGAAATATTATTTATAGTCATTTGTATGATTGACTTTTTGATCCTTTGATTTGTTTACTTGTCGTTATAAAGATATAATATTGTCTAACAATATGAAAGTGGTTCTTATTGACTTAAATAGGAGAAAAATTTTGTTCAAATATATCATTATGGTGAATGTTGTTCTATAAAAGAAAAAGTCTATCTTTATGCCACTTGATTCTTCTAAAAATTAATTTCTAATCTAAGAAGGCATAAATAATAGTTTCTTCAAGACCATACTTTTACTTTGAAGAGAAAAAAACAAATGGCCTATAATATTTTCTAAGTATTCTTCTTTTCTTACCTCAGAATTAATATTTTATGCTGATGAATTATAAGTATTTGGTACTCTCTAAACTCTCATATTTTATATAAAAAAAAAGTTTTTTTTTTTTATTTTTTTTTTTTTTTTGTATTAACATTTTAAATTTAGAGTGATCCTGATCTTGGTGAATTAACTTTATCATTATGTTATTTACCGAATGCTAAACGTGTTACAGTAACTATTGTTAAAGCAAGTGCATTAAAACCAATGGATATAACTGGTAAATCAGATCCATATGTTAAAGTTATTTTATTAATACATGGAAAAAAAATTCGAAAGAAAAAAACATCTGTACAACCGAATACACTTAATCCAACATATAATGAAAGTCTTGAATTTGATGTATCAATTGAATCACTTGAAGATGCTGATCTTATATTTAAAGTAATTGATTATGATCGTGTTGGCGCAAATGAATTAATTGGTTGTGTTGGTATTGGTGCTCATTTTGATGGTGTTAATTATGATCATTGGTTTCAAATGTTAGAACATCCACGTGTACCAATAACCGAAAGCTATAATTTACGTGAAACTATACCAATAATAACATGTTCAAGTCCACGAACTACTCATAAAATAATAAATTCGAATAATATTTAAGAAGAAACAGGAAACAAAAACAATAGAAGACGCGTTTTCCGGTGATTTATTTATTTATTTATTTTTTTTTTTTTTGTACAAAAATTTTAGTTTTTTTTTCTTCTTTCTTTTCGTGTTTGATGAAAATAATAATAAAAAAAAAATAGAGAACAAAAAATCGATTCTATGAAAATTCTTCATCATAATCAATAGAATTTGATACTTGTTGCTGAGTAGTAGTTGTTGAAATTTGATTAACAAAATTTTGTTTGCTACGTTTTTTCTGTTCAATTAAAAATGATGGTACTTCACTTTCATCATCGGATATTGATCGTTTTCGTGATTTATCATTCTAGAAATAGAGAGAGAGAGAAAGAGAGAAAAAAAACAATGAGAATTTGAAAATAGAAAAAACTTCTGTCGATATATTTACGGGTAATCGAGATAAATCATGAATAAGCAAAGGTACAGGATCATTGATAATTTCTAAATAATTTAAAAGGAAAACTAACAATATTATTTTACATTAATTCACTTTTAGTTATCTAAATAAAACCCCTAGAATCAATTAGATCTATTTACTAGAGAAGAAAAATTTGTTTCTAGAGTATTATCAGTAAATATTTGCTATGAAAAAAAAAAAAATAAGAAGAACGATAAGAATAGAAAACGAAAAAATACAATAATGTCTAGACACGAGTTTGTCATATAAATCTATCTACTTCATTTAACTCATCGTTTTCCGATCGCAAAAGATAAATAAATCAATATAGAAAAAAAAAAGTATTTTGTTTGATTAGCTAAAAGAAGAATCAATAATACAATTTTTTTGTTTAACATTTTGTGAATGAGAAACAAAAGTAATAAAAGCTATACGTAACTTAAACGAAGTCAAAATCTATAATTAGCTCATTACAAAATACCTTCATAATTGTTTTCTAAGTTATTTAAAGAATATTTACCATACAAAAGGTCGATCATTAAAAATATTTACAAATCAACCTCATACGATTCTGTTCTTCTTCTTACTTCTAATAGAAAAAACTAAGAAAATTTCTATAATTATTCGAATGTATTTATCTTCAATCGATCAGATACTTCCGTATCATTATTATTTATTCAATATTTTTACAGATCACTCAGAAAAAAGGCCCACACTCACCTAAATTAAACTACTCATTGTAGATATTATTTATTTGATTATCATAGAATTTTTAGAAATGTAATAATCTCATAAACTTTCATTCTCAAACAATCAGATTCATTAAAAATGCTAGAAGACTTGATTAATTTAGTTTCATTTGAAATTTATCTACACCTACATGCAACTAGATTAATGAGAAAAAAAAATTCTCATCGAATGTTCTTTAATCATACATTGTAATATATGATGTGTCAATTAAAGACAAAGAAATATTTTATTTCTATAAATACCTTTAGCATTTGTATCAAGCTTGGCGGTATATGTTGGTCGTATAGACTAGAAAATACTTTTTCTATCATATTAAATAAAAATAATTAAATGATTTTTACTGTTTGATGACTAGCACCCAGAGCACGAAATTTTGTAAAACTTTCTGGATTTCGACAAGGTAAATCTTTTAAGAAAGATGACTAAAAAAATCTCAATATTAAATCAATAAGAAATTCATTTATCTGACAAAACTATTACCATTATTAAATCTAGTATATATATATATAAATTTTTTTTTTCTTTTAATAATAAAAATAAATTGCAAAATTTCAAATAGAAATCTGAAACAAAGTATCATAGCAAAGAACCGATTAATTAAAAAAAAAATCCAAAGATAAAGTTATTACTATTTGCATTTTGTTATGAAAAATATGTTCCTATGCAAAAACAACACTGGCAAAATAATATATAGATAATGACAGAAAGTATACAAATATTCATCTGACTAGCGAGGAAAGGTCTTCAAATGATAAATCACTTTTATGTCTGGGATTATATCAAAGAACGAATTGGAATGCGTGCATCAGTTGACATGAGATTAATTAACATGTCCAATATACTCAATACCATGCAATTCAGCTGCTAGCGAAAGAGAGTTTTCAATAGTAGGTCAAGTTGTCAACCAAGGAAGGTCTAATTTAGGCCCAATAACCGTTAATAATATTTTATTTCTTCATTTCATAGAGAATAACAATAGTAGGATACTGATTGACCTCGACCTATATTGTTTTTGTACTCTTGTGTCTATTTTTTGCAATATCTAGTCAAATAAATCATATGATCATAAGATACAAAGATCTGATAAAAACGTGACGAAGCAGTGAAGAAAAGAAAGTAAAGTCGAGGCAGGGAACAAAATATTCCCCTAATTTCGGTCTCTAGACATCATTCAATCAATAGAGTCTAGTGAGTAAGTAAATATTCTAGAATGGTTCGAGCTGTTGAATCATTGTTCTTGAAATATCGAATTTTTAGTAGATTTGTCCTTCAGGACCCCAGTTTGTAAGCAAAATCATACTGTTGAATTTTGATCTGAGACTTTGCCTATATAAAAGTTCCAATTAGAGTAACTTGTAGAAAAAGTTTCAGGATTCTTTGACAAAATCTCTTCGAAATATGAATCTTCTAAAATATCCATGTTTTTTACAATTCACATTTCGAAGAGACTTTGTCGAAAAATTCTAAAATTTTTTTGTACAAGTTAATCTAATTGCAGTTATTACGTAAGCAAAGTTTCAGATCAAAATTCAAAAGTATGATTTTGCTTGAAAATTGTGACTCCATAGAAAAAACCTATTAAAAATTCGATATGTCAGAAATAAAGATTCAACAATTCGAACTATTATAAAGTATCTACTCATTAATTAGGCTCAATCAATTGAATATAGTCTCAACTTAACAGTGATTTATCACTTGGTGATCTTTCCTCGTAAGTTTAAGAAATATTTTTCCGAATTAATTTTTACTATCATATGCTTATAAAAAATTTAAAAAAACCGATAAAATAAAAATAATTATTATTGCTCTTATTCATGTATGTTAATACATTTGTTACAGGGCCATGAAATTGATTTGATTGAAATTCCTAATTTAAATATGTCCGAAAAGTACTTATGAAGAAAGTATATATAAGAAACAAGATTGGCAATTGAAAATAAGAACAAGAGAAATTTCAATGATAAATTTAATAAGAATAAAATAATTCGTAGTTTCACCTGGAATTAGAATATATAAACAGAAAGGAAGACCAATAATTTTTTCAATAATATTGCAACAAATAAGCAATATGCTTTTTCTATTTTGTGGAGATCCATCGCCATACTTGGTTTTTCCTAGTAATGTACAAAACATAGTACCTTTTCAAAATCATAAATACTTCGAAGAGTTTGATTTTGCTTGAAATAAATTAATATTGCAAAATACTGATAAATTAATTGATTAACAAATTTATTGAAGATCTATCTATTACCAATGAAAAACTCGACATGATAAGATGTCACTAGTAAACAAATGATGACGCATGTGTAGGTTATCAAGTGTAAACGAGGACAGTTCTGTCATTTCATCGTCTACTGCTTAAAATGAATACACCCGAACGTCGTGCTCATCTACGTGTTCAGTCATCGAAAAATTTACAAGAATGTAATTATCCTCGTGGAGCTTTAGTTATGGTAGCTGGAGCAGGTGGAGGTAACGTTTAAAGTTTTCAATTACTTCAAAAGAAAAGGATTCATTTTCATCTTTCAGGTTATACAGGCCCTGGTGTAAGTGCATATTTTGTTGTTGTTGCTTTTTTTTTGAAATATTTAGATTTTATTGATCGTTATAGGCTATTTATCCTGATCTAGCTAAAGAAATAGTAGAATATCCGAATTTAATTTCTGTACAAATGGATTATCGATTTCCAGGTGATCTTAATCCATGTGTAAGTCATTGATATTAGTAAAATATTAATTCCACAAATTAAAATATATCATTTATTTATAGATCGAAGATTTAGTAGAAACTATTGATATTCTAGCATCAAAATATAATATTGAACGAGCTGTACTTGTTGGTTGGTCATTTGGTGGTGCTGTTGTAATCTCTGCTGGTGCTAAACATAATCTTGTTAAAGCTATTGGTAAAAAAATAAATATTCAAAATTAGGTTTTTCTTTTCAAAGTCTTCATATACATTTTTTTTATAATTAGCTACTGTTGCATCACAAACAGCTGGTACAAGTAGTATTAGTCAATTAGGTCAACAAGGTAAAGCATGTTTATTTATTCATGGTAAAGCTGATCAATGTTTACCACCACGATGTTCTGAACAACTTTATCAACTTGCTGGTCAACCAAAAGAACTTGTTTTATATGATGGTGATAATCATGGGGTAACAATGCATCGAAATGAAGCAAAAGAAAAAATTAAACAATTCGCTTTAGAATATTTACGTAAACCAACAAAATAATATTTAATTTTATTATTGTTTTTACAGTATATGAATTTTTTTTTCAAATAATAATCTCGCTGTGATGACTTTTTTTTATCCACGCAATTTTATATAGTTTTAATGTTTGTTATATTATTGCTCAAGCTAGAAATACATGTAAATGATTGTCATTATAGTTTTGTTCTTTGAATAATCTAAAAATGAAAAATGAAAATTTGTTTTTTTTTATTGGTATATACATACTCAACAGCTAATGTTGTAAATTTTATTGGTCCACAAATACAAACAAGTGTTTGAATGTCATGATCTTTTGATGGTGATGGTGGTAGTAATCGATGAAGAAGTTCGCCTCGAATATAACCTGTTTCACCGGTCCATTCAGTATCAGGTTCAGAAAGAATATAATGTACAACAAATCTGTACATAAAATTTTTTAAATTATTTAATGTTTGTTATTTGATTCATGAAAAGAAAATTCAAAAACATTCTTTTTTTTTTAAATTTCATATGTGGATGTTCTTATCTTTGAGTTTTAATACGAATTTATGAGAATTTAGAAAAAAAATTGTTGTAAGACATAATGCTTACTATATATTCTTCAAATGTATGAATATTTTCCAGCGAGAATGTAGATTGTTACCCTCCCCCCCCTTCAGAAAAGGTCAAGTTTCTTAAAAAAAAAATGAAAATTGAGATAAATGCATGAGAAGATAATTCGAGATGTGTTGTTTTTTTCATTTGGCATTTCGCTTTTTCCAAAACTTTGTGTCATTATCTGTTTCCAAAATATTCTCTTCTTTTAGAGAAAACGAGAAATTTTTTTTCACATTTTCTCTGGTTATGTTTTGTAGATTGCGCATCCTATAATTTTTGAGGGAGGTTCTTTATAACTAATAGCTTTCTTTTTTTATTTGAAAGAACATGTAAAAATGAAGGGTATGACAGAGTCCGTTTTTCTAAATTAAGCTTTTTTACTATTAATTAAAAGAGTATTTTTATAACTAGACTGCCAGTGTTTTTTTAGAATTTTTTGAACCGTTGAACTTTTCTTCCCTTAAAAAATAAGAATTTAATAAAAGCAAGAGCTCCATCATGCATTGGATTCTAATATGTTCTTTCAAACAAAACAAATTAAGTGTATATAGAATGAAGATTCACAATGAATTTTACATTGTCAAGTGAACTATTTTTGATCCTTGTTTGTTGAATATCTTCTGGAAATGTTATGATATAAGCATGAAAAATTTAGCATAGCCTCTTCACCATAGCTCCAACATATTTTGAAAATTTCATGCGATTTGGGTGTATCTGAGCCAAGATTGATTTTTGAAAGGGGAGATTAAAAATAGAATAAGAAGAATACAGTTGACTTCATAGGTTTTAGATCAAATATATTCAATAAAAATGTTTTGGAATTTAGTAAAATGACTCAAAATTAGTGAAAGAACTATTATAGAATCAATCATCAATAGTCAGCTAGAATTAATAGATTTATATACTCAGACTAAATTCTCATGATAGTAATAAAATAAAATGAAAAATTTTTCTGTATGAATACTGAAATGATTTTGTATGAAATTAACTTCCTATCACTGATTTTTACAGATAATTTTTCTTAATCTTAAGATGATCTCTAAAATATTAATGAAACCTAACAGTCAAACTAATGAAGAAATAAATCAATTCACTTCTAAGGAAAAACAAATAAAGAAATAATACTAAAAGATATTGTTCACTTACTTAAATTGTTTCGATATTGTGTCTAATTCTTCTCGACATAAAATATCTTTTTCAGTTCTATTAAAAAATACTAAAAATACATTTATATGTTTTCCATTATTAGTTTGTTGAATAACATAATTCATAATTCGAATCATTGGTGTCAAACCAGTACCAGCTGAAATAAGAATAAGTGTTTGACACATATCAATTCTTTGAATATCAAATGTGCCTTCATATGAACTCATTTCAATAGTATCACCTTTTTACAAAAATAAAATAATAGAAAAAAAAATCTATTCATTTAAATACCAATATTTAGTTTTTCTAACGTTGTCGACATTATTCCATCTAAATAATGTTTAACTAATAATTCAATTGTATGTTTCGATGATGAATTTTCTCCATTATTTAAACGATTTACTACTGTATAAGGTTTCACAATAATTATACCTGAATGAAATAATGACAAAAATTATACAAAAAAAAAACCACACAAAGAAAAAATTTCATATAACCATCTTTTGCTTGTCTTAATCGAATATGATAACCGATTGGAGGCACCATAAAAACATTCGATGGTAATGAAAATGTATACCAATCCGTATTATATGTTACTGGAGTTCGTTTAATGAGAGTTACAGTAAAGTATATAGGGTCTAAATGAAGAAGAAAAAAAATGAACATTCATATTTAATACCAGCAATCAGTATTTTATCCAGCGTCAGAAGGCTGAGGTGCCAACGCTCCTTCAAAGACAGAATTGGTTCTTCCGGAAAAGAAAATCTAGATCAAAAGCTGCTCGAAGTATATCTCAAATATTCTATTTGGGATAGGAATGGATAATTCCAGTTTATCGACCACCAACGTCACCCGCTCAGTGTAGCTAGTGCACACTGAAGCATTGGAATCGATCGCTACAAAAAAGACATAGTGTGATAGAATTGGTGTCTCAGTATTGCAGTAAACGTCAATGTCAGTGGTACACCAATACTGCACATTTCTAGTCCAAGATAAGATTACAACTATGAAATGATAATTTCGTAAGCAAAACAAATGACTATCAATTAAAAAAAACTGTTTAATCTAGATAGAATTAATGATTAGAACTCAAAATGTACGAAAATAATATTCTGTCATAAATAATTTTGATTAATTTCAATTGAGAAATAGCAGGTGACACAGATAAACTAGGGTAATATCATTTTTTTTTTGCACTCAGATGCACTCTCAGATAGTCATTCGATAGAGTATTTTGTGCTCTATAAAACTATTGCATTTGTTTTTCAAGTTCTTTTATGTTGGAGCAAAATTTAAAATATTAACATTTACTTAATCGTTCAATCACGACGATCAAACGACAAGCATACCACAAACTTCTGTATCCTTTGATATATGTTTGAAAATTTCAGAAGAAATATTTACAAGAATAATCATAAAGTAAAAACTGGGGAAAAAATCTTGTGTGACAAGATTACGTGATTGTTTTTTTTTTGATTTCGATAGAATCTAATCGCTTGTATTCTTCAACTTGGCAATCATAAACATTTTGTTCAGAATTAAATTCCACATCCGACATTGCGAGAATGACTATTTCATAGATTAAGTCTAATTTTGGAAAACACGCTTTTTTCGCTATGCGCAGAAAAATATCAGTAAGTTTTAGTTTCAAGATTTTTTCTCATGAACCATAGCACTAGGAACCTTGAAAAGATCGTAGAACACAAAATTCTCTATCCCTTGATGGTAACTGCGTTACTTTATGAACAAAGACTTATAGAAATCAATAGAAAATCGCAATCAAGCAATCGAATAGGTTTTCATATTTTAAATTTTACTCCAATGAGAAAAATTATAAACGACATAGTTTTTGTAGAATAAAAAATTCTCTGTCAAATGAATTTCTGAAAATGACTCAGAATCAACTCAAACAAAGAAAATGATATTGTCTTTTTTTCATCTATGCTACCCGTCGTTTTATATTCAAATAGATAATATGCACTCACTAGGAAGAATTCAATCAGAATCATCTGACAGAAATATTAATTGTTTTAATGCAGCGCATGACATAGCAGCAGGTGTAAAATTTCATAACAATCAAAAGATTTTATTTGTAGAAAGTTAAAAGAAATTTTTCATATGGAAAATAAAAACTTCGAAACCAATTTAATTTCCTTGATGACATGTATAATTAACCAATACAAAGTATTCATGCAAGAAATATAAGGTTCAATAAACGTTTCTTTTATTTTCACTTCGTTTACTTTATAAAGTTTAAATGAATGCTATATTCTATTTACTTTTAATTCTTGTTTTTTTTTTTTTTTTTTTTATTTTTTGTTTAGACATACCAAAATCTTGTACAGTACAAATAGATAAATGATTTGGTAGAAATTTTCCAATTGATTTCCATTTTCGATCAATTTGTTTATTTAAATCAATTTCAATTTGAGTTCGACTATCTGATGAAATACGAACTAAATATAGTCCCCCACACAAAAAAAAACCCATAATCAATTTAATAGACAAAAAAATTCTTTTTTTTTTTGTTACCAGTAAATTCATTTGTTATTAATTCCAATAAATCTAAATAAACCAAAAATAAAAAATTTTATCATTTATTTTCTTATTAAATTTACCTATGGCTATTGTATGAATAAATCCATCAATAAAAACAAGAATAAGAATTTGTTTTGAATTTTCAATATAAACAAAAATATTTTCAACAGTTAAATTTATACATGTTGTATATATAAAAAGTGTTAAGCTGTCGGAATTTTGTTGACGAAAATCAAATCGAAGTCGATTTGGTAAAGATTTTGATTTAGTTAATGATGTTTCTTTTTGATTATTTTTAGTTATCAATCGACCAACAAGACATTTTTCAAGCATAGAAGCAAAATTTACCTAAACATACAACAAGAATTACTTTCAGCAAACATTTTAAATCTTTTTTTTTTTTATTAAACCCATGAATGTATATCTTGAAAAAGTGCAGTTGCATCAATACCAGCTCCTTTCATTATTTCATCAACACCACCTGGATGATAATCAAGATATGGGGTTATATTATAAACATGTCCTAAATAAAAAAGAGAAAAATTTTTTTAATAAGTCATACTAAGGCATTTTCTATTTTTACCTGAAATAGCAGTCCAACAGTCAGTTTTTTTATTATGTTTAGCTAATTCATCTTCTGTAACACTTAATAATTTTCCATTTGTACCAGACATATTTGGTGTATTATTCGTTTTTCTTATCCAATCCATTAAACCTAATGAAATAAATTAAATAATTTCTTAAAATTTTTCATTTTCTTACCATGCTGAGGAGCTAAAATTACCTAAATAAATAAACAAAAAAAAAATAAATAAAACAATTTAAATTCTAAAAAAACAAAAATTAAAAGAAAGATTAATATTACTTGAGCTCGTGGTTTATTCACATTTGATTTTTGTACTGGTAATGAAAGATAATTCATTGTTACTGAAATATCTCTTATTTTATTTTCTTCTCTTGGTTTATCACCACAAATACCTTTTGAAAACATAAAAAGAAATACAAATAATTTTTATAACAAAAAGAAAATGTTGTTTTTTTTTTTCAATATTTTCTACTTACATTTCCATATAGAACTCATTCTGTATTCGACACGTTAGACTAAAGATATGATCTGTTTCTTTTTTTTTTAAGCATATATCTTAGATCTTTTTTATTCTTCATTATAAAACAAATGTGCCGCATGAAGAAAAATGCCATTCATGCAAGTTATTTGATGCATCCTGAGAAAAATGAGAAACAATGTTGACATCGTTTTTGATTTCTTTTCTTTTTTTCTTTAGCAAACGAGAAAGAAAAACAATGAAAGAAATTTACGAAGAGAGCGAAAGAGAGAGAAAAAACAACAACAACATTGAACATTTATTAGAAAATTAAGTTTTATATTTCATAAAAAAAAATTTTAAATGTCTTTTTTTTTTCGAGATTTGAATTCATTGTGCTTTTGGAGTTTTGAACGATTTAACATACCGGATGTAACATAAAGAAAGAAATCGCCTGAGGTTCGTGTTGTTATTTATCAATTATTATTTATTCTTTTTGTTTTTCACGACTGACGGATGTGTTAAAAGTAATCGTCATAATATTTCAAAACTTTCTAACAGCATCTTTGAAATGTCTAACAATAGTCGAGCAACGGTACTAAGATAACGTTCAAACAGGATTTATACTTCTTAAACAATGAAAAGATGATTTCACAGAAAAAGTTTTGACGCAGTATAACGACAAATTTTGAATACATTCATCAATGATCAAAAGAAAAATAGAAAAAGAAGAAAAAGATTACATTTACTAAATAAAATATTCCATTTTTTTTTAGAGGATTGAATCAAGCGTCTTTTTGAGACTAACCGTATGCTTTTAGGATAACAGATGATAAAGAAAAAAAGCGAAATCCAGGTGATTTCTTTCTTTATGTCGCACTTGACACATTTGGACAATATCATAAAAATCAATTAAAAGGAGACAGTAGAATATTTCAGGACCGATTTATTTATTATCATATGCAATCATATAGTCTGTGATAGTATATATTTTGAATAAAGGATCGTCTGATATAATCCGACTTATGTAGATATATTATCCTTTTGTAAATAGATCTATTTCAATATGATGTCTCAATATCGATTGTATAGAGTCTTAATGTCTGTCTATCTAAAATTCCCCAAAGAAAAATATTTCTTAATATTTAATCAAGTTTTTGTCATAGAACACGTCTCAAGTGTTCGATAAAGAACCTAAAAGAAAAAAAAGAATAGAATATCTCCACTGTATCTTGACCGAATGAGTTAATTTTTTTTTCATAATTATAGAGGAAAGTTCCGAAATTTTCTTCATGAGCAAAACATTTAGTAAATACAGCTGAAACCTATTGTTGTCTACTTTTAAAGTGAAAAATTGACACTGTCGAGCAAAAATAAATGATAGAATTTAGGCTTTTATTTTCTTAATTTTTAAATTTATTTAAAAACTTTGAATATTCGCTTGTCTATCTAACTTCTTCAAGGATTCATTTGAATGTTCTTATATAGAAAACTTCCGAAAAATCCATGTGACAACATTTAACTTTTGATAGTGTACTTGTATGAGTAGTCAACCATAAAGACACAAAATGTATCTGAAAACTTTCTGATATA